CATTTGGAAGCTTTTATCTTTTAATTAGTTTTATCTAAATCGAGCAGTCAGCATGCCCGGATGTGACGTTGTGTCTCAATATGCTATTCTTCTGTACGTACATCCCCCACTTCCATTAGATATATGAAGCGAATATGTCACTGATTCAATAATCACCACAAGCCAGAGGTCTGGTTTCTTTTCAAAGCAGCCCTGCATCACGCTTTTAAAAAGTGTGTTTGCGAGATTTCCAGTTTGGCAAACAAACACTCAGGGTTGTTAGAAACAATTTCGCGCTGTGCTAGCTGCTTCTAAAACACCTACGCCTCGATAAGTGTTAGCTTTTAGCAGTTTATTCGAGTTCAATACCATAACATTAGCCTGATTTCAGGAATAAATGGAGTTCAGGAACCGACATTGATTGATCAAACAGCAAAAGCGCCGCTGTGTGAAGCTGCAGATTCGACACAGATGGAGCACGAAAATGCCCGCAAATCCTTTTAGTCTCGACAAAATAAGTTTTTCATTTATGTCGAGTATAAGGCACAAACGGGATAACTGGGATGAAGAGAAAATCGAGGTTAGAGGTAAAATACCAATGTGAATTCAAGTATTCGAGTGCTGGCGGTCCATCAGCCTTCAATTGTATGAATTTGCCAGTCGTTTGGGGAATTATGCAGCACAAAAATATCCGAAAAATATTCCACTGCGAAGTTCGAATTTTTTTCGTTTTTGAATCCTACTAAACTCACATGATGGATATCACAACATAAACGGTACAATAATAGTGCTAACGTATCAGGCGCCTTTTTTTCCTCCCTGCTCTCTGAAGAGTGACGGTTTTTAACGTTAGAAAAAAGATAGTTTCGGGCTCAGAAAAGCCAAACCATTGCGCTGCAGCATATTAAATCCTACATGTAGTGAGGCGTTTCGAAAATCCATGTGAAACTGGGCATTTTCGAGCAGCAGTTTTAAGCTTGCAGGACTAATTAGTATTTATTCAGTATCGTGGTCAATGCACTAAAAAGACTCAAAAATGGCCTTGCGTCTGGTTTTGCTGCAACGGCAATCCAACCGATATTTTTCGCAGGTAGTGTTGATACTAGCTACAGTTTGGACATAAAAATACATTAAATAGCGACGCGCACTGCATGCTTTTTTGCTATAACCTCTTGTGGAAATTGAAAGTTGCGAGGTTCAGAAGACAGAATTTATCAATTCAGCCCAAATTTGAGCATGAAGGTCGTAGTTCAGGATGGAATAAGACCTGAGTTATACTCATATTTTTTTGCTGTAAACTATTTACAAATGATCCACAAAAATCCTCATTTGGTGGCTTTTCTGGTTCTCAAGTTTCGGATTTTACTTGAACTCAGCATGGCGATCATTTTTCGAATTATAACAAATTTTGCAAACTGATATCACTGCTTTTACTTCAGATCATGTTTTGAAATTTTTAGCCCATAGCCTTCGGAATCATCGACATATAAGTCTGAACTTGGATTCAAGGTTGTAGATTCGAACATCCTGACGATTCACACTTAAGATACCTGTATTACTTGCTTCACGCTGCAATAAAACCGGTTTTTAATTTAAATTTCGATTTCGCAAGAGTTCCCGAACTTCGGGTTTACGGAATTAGCTCTGGATTTGGATCTGAAATCACAAGCTGGTATACAGAAGGAGATTTAACTTGGTTACACGCCAGTGGTTCCAAATAAGGGCTGGTGCGATGCTTCCAAAAATTTCAGCTTCCTCTTTTTCAGATTTGGGATTAAATCACTTTTTCAGATTTTTTGGGTTAAATCACTGGCGGCTCGCACAGGGCGGG